CGGGTTCGCGGCCGACCGCCGCCGGCGGTGTTTCAGCCTCACCAGCTGCACATGTCGTGGTGATATGAAATTGCCCGGTCCGAAAGCATCACATCTTTTACAGCACCATCATCTTTGACTTGCAGAACCGCAGTCGTCGCTAAGCAACGCAACTAAGCCACACGTGACACCAGTCACAAGGTCGGGTATCCCAAAACGGCTGCGTATGTGTTCCGCACCTGCACGTTGTTGACGATGACCCTCCACTTTCCGTCGGTGTTCTTGGCCCTCAGCGGCTGGACGTAGGCGGTCTCAGATCCGCACAGGTAGGTCTCTTCCTCCAGAGCCTCCAGCCTGGCGGACAAGAGATCAGTTTGGATCATAAGGTCTCGGATCAGGCTGGATCACAACGTTTTGGATCAGGCTGGATCACATTATTTTGGATCAGGCTGGATCACAAGATCTTGGATCAGGCTGGATCACAAGGTCTCGGATGAGGATATATCTTAAGGTCTTGTATCAGTTTGGATCACAAGGTCTCGGATCAGCCTGCATCACAAGGTCTTGGAACAGGCTGGATCACAAGGTCTCAGATCAGGTTGCCTGTCTCCCGGAGCGAAGGCTCTTCCGCAGCAGCAGGCGCACGGCCCACGGTTCGCGTCTCTTCCAGTCTGGGGTGCAAGGAACCAGCGACCAAACTGACTCCACCACACAGGAGGCGCGGAAGGTGTGTACACCTCTAGGCGGGGAAGGGACGGGAGAGGGCTTGATATGGGGGCGTGTGCTAGTAATTTGGAGGTGCTTGGTTATGCATACACTTAGGTAAAGTATCTGAAGCCATTTTCGACGGTCAGTCAGGTTTTAATTGGCATCATGACTTGTTGGGACCATCCATACCATCACTGAGAGGTGCCGAAAACCAGTAAAGAGCAGTTACTAATCGTCACCTGTAATATGTATATATATATATATATATATATATATATAATAATATATAATAATCGTCACCTTAACAATTTGCAGCGACTGAGCACTCGTGTCTTCAGCTCTTCATCAATTCAGAGAACTGTCAGGATAACTGAGCGTGTCGGAATAACTGTTCTCCTTCACCACGACAAAAGGCGTCCACTTTAGCAGATTCGTCACACCAATCTCATTGCTTCGAGGTAGGATAAGCCTCATCAGATAATCTCCCTTGGAGGTTGCGCGCAGTATTGCGTTGACACCAGATGCGGTCCCACATCTGATAACAGCTCACGTAATCTGTGTTTATCATCGCCAGACGCCAGGGCAACGGTTCAAGCAGCGCCACCGCGTCGCGTTGCGTGTTTTTATGCTGTGATGTTGTTGTCGCTGACGGTTTGACGCGCCGCGGCCGCGCTCTCATCGCCAGCACGTCGACCCACCTGTCGACCGAGTTGCTGGTGTTGGCCACCACGTCCTGGTACAGGTTGAGGAAGGTGTAGTGGTGGTAGCCGATGGCCTGGGCGATGTGGTAGGCCGGGTACTCCGAGTCCTCCAGACACCAATCCTTGGTCGTGTTCTTGGAGCAGGCCGGGTCGGCCGGCTCGTGAGCCTGGTGCGCCGGGGTCGAACAGACACGTGAGTGGTGGGCGACGGCTACCATCTGTTTACGTTTAGTTGGTGAATGATCGAAGTCAACAGGGCTAACCTTGCACCCGGGACCGAAACAATTTCTGGACGGAGTGCTTGAGCGCGTCAGCTACCATGCAGTGTACTTACCAGCCAGTGTTCTCATGTGCGCAAGACAAGGTTCTCATACAAACCAGCACTGTCCCGACTCAAGGCCTGATGGGGACACACTCGGCAGGGACCTTACCGAGTGACCATAGGCTGGCTGCTGGTGGCCGTAGGCCGGCTGCTGGTGGCCGTAGGCGGGCTGGTGGCCGTAGGCGGGCTGCTGGTGACCATAGGCGGGCTGCTGGTGACCATAGGCAGGCTGCTGGTGACCATAGGCCGGCTGCTGGTGGCCGTAGGCGGGCTGCTGGTGACCATAGGCGGCTGGTGGCCGTAGCTTGGCTGCTGATGACGGATGATGGAGCTGCTATACATCGGTATGCGCACATAGGATGAACACTGGGGTCTTGCATGCACTGAATTTATAGTCCCCTCTATGGGAACCGGGCACCACAAGTCCTCCACATGACACACGGCGTAAAACACTGTGACACTTATAACCTCATAAACTGCAATCATATGCTACAGCGCTCAATCTAGCCATTAATTCGGCAGACGCGGGTGTTTTTTCAGCTCTATCCATGCAATCCACGCTGCACTGCTTGGTTGGAGAGTTCCCCTCACCGGCTGCTCCGCGGCCGGGGCGGCCGCGTAGGCGGGCTCCTCTGGCGCTGGCGCCGGATCCTCCACCAGCTCCACCGCCGGCTCGACCTCGGTCGGAGCGGGTGCCACCTCCTCCACCGCCGCCGCGGCTGCCTCCGTCACCGCTGGAGGTCAGCGGCAGGTCACGACCCAGATCGGGGACGCTGAGGCGGGCTAACAGGGAATGAGACCTCGGGGTCACTGCTGGGTTCTTAAGGTAAGATGAAAAGGGCTACCTTCAGCTCCGGGGTCACTGATGGGTCCCAAGGTCAAGTGCAACTATGACCTCTGGGTAGCTGCTAGGGACGAAGCGTCAGGTCACATATGTGCCTTGGGATCGCAGGACCACTGGCACCACATTGCACGTCTTTTGCGGAAGGAAGCCACGCAAAGACACACATCCGTTGGAACGGATTGCACTTTGGGTGTCAGGCCAAATTTTGTCCGTTAAACTACGAACGCCGGATTTCTTTCTCAGGAAGACCTAGCATCTGTAAGAGGGCAGTAGACCGTATTATTGTAGACCTTGAGTAGACCACGGTCGGTCATCCCATGTAAGCCCACTTTCCTTTTTTAACGAACCATATGCTGCGCATGGCCAGGCCGGTCGAGCGGTGGAGACCGGTAGAGCTGATTCGAGGCCCACCGTACCCGGTAGACCCGGTCTTATCGTCACGCCGCGGATAAGCACGACGCCTGGCCAGCACAGGTGATGCCCCGGACGACAGTGAATGGAGGACGCCGGTGAAGGGGACAGACCGGAAAATATGATCAATGCGCGATGACCGGCGAAGCTCGAAAGCAAGTCACTCTCTGCATGCTTCACATTGTCAAAGCCTGGCAGTTATTCATTGAGTAAAACTGATAATCGCGTTGCCGCCCGTTTTTGGAGCGGTAAGGAAAGGATTGCGTACCACTCTGCTGAAATGGGGGAACCCGGGAACGCATTGAACTTGTCCTGTTGAAATCAGGTCCGTTGAAGCATTGCAGCTGCATTGAAACGCAGGCTTGATTGTGTGTTGTGAACAGGGAATGATGTCTATTTTAATTGAGTCATAAGTTGGAAACAAATAACCGTAAAAAAGATGCTCGAAGGGTTGAGTCGACCAAACATTGCTTGTCTAGTTGTATCGTACGAAGTTGGACTGTTGCCTCACAATTTATGTCGTGTATTTTGACCAGTTGTTTGCTCTTTGATCTGCAATATTGCCTCAAAATTTTGGCTCTAACCTTACCTATAAGCCTTAGAAATCGCCCCCCCCCCTCCTTGAACACCAACAGTGGGTTGCATTACCCATGCCACGATGCCACGGTTCTGCACGTCTAAGCATTCCTTGAAGTAGTGACGACATTTCTGTTGATTTACATTTTACGGGTATGAGAAATGGCACCAAGAAATGCAGCATTTCGCTTCGTCCCAGAATTATTCGTTTGTTTTCATATTTGGGAAGCTGCAAATAATTTTGGTGATGACCGCTCGAGTGTTGTAGCGTGCCGGCAGCTGGCGTCATTGTATTCTCGCGAGAATATTTTAGAACTAGTTACTGCACCCCAGAGCTCATTGCAAGTAGCTTGACCAGATCTTGTACACGTGCGCAGAGGAGCTGTTGTTTACAACATTTACCTAAACAGTGGCAATCAAACCACGCAGTGCACACACCGCAAACACCGCAGTTTCAATCAGCTGACGAATATGACGTCATTTACACCGCATCGATCGCCGCTGAGCCGCGCGGCGGCCGTTCGCCAGCTGACGCAACCCGCCGACCTCGCTCAAGGATGCGCGCGTGCGACGATTGCGTGGGGCCGAGAGTTCCGTTCCAGAAGCGACAGGCGGCGCTCATCAGTCACGGTCTGCTGTCAGTGGTGGTGGCGGCCGCGTGATGATGCGGGCGCCACCGTTTTTATGATGAGCGGCGACTCGGCCAAGCGGGCTGAAGTTTTGCCGCCTCGCATTACGTTGGGAGTCGCGAGAGGAGTGTCGGGCAAGTTTCGCAAAGTTCTTTGGGGAGATCGAAGACCAGATTTCTTCAAGACCATGGACATCGTTTTTGAATTATTTTTGGCGACGTTACTGCTGATTTCGATGAAATATGATGAAGAACACTGTATGAGAAAGGCCCGTTCAAAAAAGTAGGACGCCCAATCTGTGCGAGTACTACCATGCGAACGCGCCACGTCCAGGAGCGCGTCGACTCACAGAAACACCACTTTGTCGTGGTTTGCTATCGGCCTACGGACCCGCAGTCTTCGCCAAATGGCGCGTGCATCATACGCGCACACCCTTCTGTAAAATATATCGCTATCCTCACCAATACCGTATGTCGACCACGCAATAATTGTGCACGTTATCTGAATGATGCATGCACATATTTCCAACATCAACAAAACTGCATGCGTCCATACTGCCGAGTAGCGCCACGCTGCGTCAGCCTGAGCCCCGCTGTTGAGCACGTGAGGGGGGGGGGGGTTAGATCGGATGAGGGGGTCACCCTGAAAGGGTTTGAGACCCCACTGGTGCCTCTGTGTAGACTTCTTGTCCGGCTGCCGCCGCCACCAGCACCAGGAACAGCTGCCGGCAACATCACCATCACCACGTAGTCATGGCAACACCGTAAACTGTCGCACACGTCCTTTTGGACGTCCATGGACAGCCACATTACTGAAACAATTACCGGACACGCCACTGCTGTCTAGGGAAGACGGCAACAGTACGAGACGCAGTTGCCTGTAACCAGGGGCATAGCCTCACAAAATAAGCTAAGCAGGGAAAGGGGAAAACCGTGCCCCAGCGGTCCCAGGTAGTTAAAATAATCTTTTCTCCCGAGTTTCCCAATGTCTTCGTCAAGTTGGCTGGGGGGGGGGGGGGGGGGGGGGGGGGGGTAAGGCTCACAGCCGACTGGAAGACCACCTCCTTCCAGTAACACTGCAGTTACCAAGGTGATACGACACTGACACCAGTTCACCCATAAACCCCTATGATCACAGATTAGTGTTACCACGAGGACATGACGTCAGAAGTAGGAATAAAGACCGGCGCTAACCATATTTCCACGAGGACACAACAGAGACACGGACACGCAAGGCAGTGACAGGAAGATGCCAATGACACGGAGATGCGACACGAACGCAGAAACGTGATATAACCTTTTTGATGTTGCTTAGGAGATCGAGGGGAATGGAAAGGCGCGATTACAACACGATATTATGGCAGCCCAAAGTCAAACCGCCTATTGAGTTCAAGAGGACAGGCGGTGATTGGTCGTATGCACTGAACAGTGTTTGCTGAGACAGGTCTCTGTGCATCATGCATTTAGCTGCATGATGTGGTGAACTTGCATAAGTTGTGTGGCAAAACGCACCAGCAATTTTCATCCAGATTTGACTGGCAATAGCAACAGATCTTGAAAGTCAAGAATTCCTGAAAATGTGCAGTAAATGTGTGTGTATTATGTCTACCTAAACAATCGCCTAAAACGGCCAAGATATGCTAGCCCGAATTTGAATCAAATTGGATTCATTCTTGCCCTCCAGAAACGCAGAATATAATTTAGTGGGCTTGCTGGTATCGTTGCTGCACGAACAAGTTTAATATGTCAAATGCGAATAAGGCTTGCTTTGTTTGCATGACGTATAAACGTTACACGGCGGAATGCATCCCGACTTGTGCTGTGAGAACCTCCATTCAGATATCGCAAATATAGACTCCACTCCCTTTGCAAAGATAGGCATTGAAATACACAAAATATACGTGACTTGCACCTGTAACGCACATGATTATAGCTCAAATATCAAAGGAATTCCGCACTTAAATCCCACCGTGAAGTGTAACACAACAGAAATTCCCAAATAAGAAGAGAGCCATGTTGAGCATAACAGACCCAGAAAAAGTGAGCTTCAAAAAATGTACACAACACACAGATGGCGTGCCATAAACGGGACTATTAACGATCTTCTGTTTTGCGAATTTAGCTAGAAGCTCTTCAGAACGCAAAATGACACCGTAAATGTATCAGCCGAGAACCAATTAAACGATGTGGAATTGGCACCACAAATCGAGTCTTTAGGTCGCACTGAGCTGACTCTTAGTGCTCTTCGTAGTAGGAGTTAGTAGACGTACCAGGGCAGAAATCTGCCCGCGGCCCAGACAACGATGAACGCACGCGCGCCCGAAATCCACGCATTCGCCAGGACTTTGCATCTCTGCGAACCTTCTCTACGAACCCTCATGACGTCACCACGCCGCCGGCTGGCGCGCAGGCACGCCAGACCCACACAAGCGCACCACCACCTCGTACTCACGAGCGAATTTGAGCGCCATCGCTGCGGACACTGTTGCCGGGCTGCCGCCGAGTGTTTGGACGCACTCCGGACAAGGCGCCCGGCTTATATGGACGGGCGCCGCGCCCCAAGGACCCGGCCGCCTCCGGGGAGCGGCGGCCCGCCCCGGCAGCCCCCCCCCCCCCCCCACCTCGCCTCGCTTCTGTCGCGGGAGGCGTCCGGCTGTACTGTGAGAGCTTTCTGTGGGTAGTCCATGCCTTAGGATAGCAAGTACAATTTTCGACGATCAGTTTTGGCTTGCGGTGTGGTGGCTGCTTTTGGCTGGCTATCGGCACCGTTTGTCACCAGTCACCTTATGCGCTTTTTGAAACCGCTCCAAAAGGTTTTTCACAGCGGCGTAATTGTGTTGCCTGCTGACCCCTCTTCCGCAGACGGTCACACCTGTCCAGCGGCGGTGCTCAAAGTTCATGCTTCAGCGGCGGTACCTTCCAGTACTTCCAGCGGCGGTACCTCCCGCGTGTACTCAATGGGACGGTGAGTACCCGGGCGGCGGGATGCTGCGAGGGTAGAGCAACGGATGGCAGCCCCTCAGCTCTACCCATTTAGCGCTAACAAAGTAACCGGGTGCGCTGCTATGGCGGAAGACCGAATTGTAAGCAAAGATGACATACCCAGCGCACACTTATCAGATATTTCTTTACACTGCGTGTGGGCTGATTGCATCATTGAAAGTCCCGTAGCTGTATGGCCACGGCTGCTTTTATCCCGCTCGCTGACGGTGCTCGGTATGACGTCCGCCGGCTTTCTGTGTACTGCGAATCCAATCCCCAACATTTCTGCTTCGTGATGTCAGTCCATCCAGAACCTATGTGCATTATGTTATATATGATGTGTATATATTATGTATATTATATAATACATATACATATTTTGTTTATGATATTGTATACATCTTATATATAAAAACAAATTAAGCATAATGTAAATAAATGATTATATATATGCATATATATATATACATATATATATATATATATATATATATATATATATATATATATATATATATATATATATATATATATATATATGTATATATGTCATCAAATAACGTACTCCACTTGAAATGTCTGAGATCCGGACGATGCCATAACTCCCGCCATAAATGAGAGATCATCTTCGAAACGAGGGTGCAAAAACTAATTGCAAGTCAATTTCTGCTATGCGCAGCCGCACGGCAATGTTCAGCATACAGTGAAAGCCTGTACCATACCATAGCATGCCTGTACCACTCACAGAAAGCCCCCTCACACCCATTCCTACCCTATCGCTCCCAGGAATGATTGTAATGAAGAAATTCAAGATACCAGAGGTAGAGAGCCTGTCTACGGCTAATCAGCCATGAGTAAAAAAATAAATATTGCTACGTGACGGCATTCTTATACATGATATATGGAATATCCTCCGATAGTTCAAAGCAGCAAAAATCTAAAGGGGCTGTTCAACATTTGAAGATATTGAAACAAGCATCAGACATGATGGGAAAAGCTTGCTTTAAGCTATTGGTGAGCTTTCAAGGTTCAAAAAACGACCCTCAGCAGCAAAATTTCAAAGGTTGTTAAAATGCACCCCATGACGTCATCGTTTGACGGCGTCATGGAGTAATTTTGTGATGACAGCAATACCTGACAGCATCTGGCAGCCAGACCTAAAGAATATCTCAAAACGCACAAAAGCTGACACCGGTCGCCCATTCTTGTCGTGGGCGCTTCGTTGGGTGGCGGGATGGTGGATATTGGTTGTAGATTGTTTGTCCTTGGTACTGGTCGTTAGAAAAACGTTGGTGGACTATTTGACTTATGCAGCGTAGCGATCACCAGCCCTTTATGGAAGATTATTATGTCAAAGCACGATACGCCATGAAAACTGACCTGTAGTGTCATGAATCTCTTTTCGAAACCCACCAAGGACTGTTGAGAAGATCAATACTGCAGTTGCCGACCTATCCTTGCCTGCAGTGCTGTAGTCCTGACATTGGTATCATGTTGATGTGCACGGTAGTTGCTTTCTCTGTTATTTGTGACTGAAGAATGCAGTTGCATGCAAAATTAATAAATCTGTGACATTGTCATTAACTGATTGGCCAAAGCATTGTTTATTGCTATGGTAAAGATGGCAAAGTTGAGCTCCCAAGAATGCTTTCTTGCCTAAGATTGTTTGTGCAATTACTAGTTAATCCTGACATAAACCATTGTGGGCGCAACAGAATTATCACTGGTGATAGTCCTTGTCCGTTGTTGAATCAGTCGTTACCAGTCATTCATAAATTATAAGTTGTTATCTTATAAACTTGTACAAAGAGAGGTCAACTAATGCAGTACATTGTGTGATGGTACGGGTCAACAGCGTCATGGTCGCACTACCCTCAGTGCTGTACTGTGGCATGACATGAACAATAATGCGGTTTTCTGTACCGTAATCCCTGCTGCTTTCATAATAAATTCCGTCATGAAAAGATCGGTCAAGCGTGTGTTCTTGTATTAACTCCGCAGTCTGACGTATGAATGACCAAAAACACATGATATGATATACAAGTCACTTTGCAGCAAAGCTCACAAACCAATGAGTGACATCACTTGTTCAGCCTGTTTTGGGAATCCACAAACGTAGATGCAAAGATGCAAACATGTTCTTTCCGCCTTCCACAGCCATGCAACATGTTGCAGGCCGTCAGGCTGCTTCACGAAAAAATATCAAGAAAAGTATCACATCCAGTGATATGACACTGCTACCTGCCAACCTTGCACAAGGCTGGAGACATGGCAAGTGCATGTAGTCATGGTTAGAAGGGCAGAATGCAAGGAAGTGGTGAATTTACATGTACAACGCACGCACCCAGCATCTCACACAAGTTGCAGTGGACTATGACGTTGCTGCCTCACAAGCAATGCTTGCCTGATACAAAATTCAGAATTCTGAAGGGAAAGACAGAAGTGGCAGTAGGTGCTGGTCTGCACAGCTCATTGATGCACCTGCTCGGTATAATGTCACATGATCCAGCTTTGCAAAATTGTCAATATAATGGCGTGCGATGGATCAATTATATGCTGCAGTGCTTCCACAGGTTAAAAACGTCAAGATCACAATAAAGTGGAAAATTGCCTATGTACACCCGTGCAACATAGGTGCTTCTTCAGCTTACCAGCATCGCTGCCTTGCCATTTTCAAACACAAACATAAAGATAGAGGCAGGTATCGATATATCACATTTTATTGGGACCGAGTAGACGTAAACAATACCAAAACAACGTTCCCTCTCAGAAGTACAAACCTCACACGAACACTCCATAACCACATAAAGATTAATACAAGCCACTGGCATGCACCACCAGTGATGCTACTTCATTTTAAGCCTCTGAGTCATACTCCTGTAAAGTAAATGTGATTCCACACTTGCACAGCCCGCGGGACTATCAAATTGCAGTTTTCTCACAATTTGAACATAACTTCTCTGTCATCACACCATGTTCATTTCACCGCGACTCACTTCCAAACAAGGTCGCAATTACGGTTCTGGTAATCGCGGCTCAAGAAGATGTACTTGAAAGGCAGAATGCTTTGTTCAAGATTTAAGGTTGGTACAATATGTGTTCAATATTTAGCAAAGTATGTTTACAAAATTACTGTGATGTTTCCCTAATTATATAATGCCTAGCTAACCCACAAATTCGTGCAAGACTACTTGCTCCAGTGTAAAAGGCTCCAACCGAGGTTGCCTGTAAGAAATACGTGAGTAGAAGAAAAATCGCCAGCCGGAGAAATAAGACAGAGTTGCCGTTGCGATCGTCTTTAAAAACATCCGGGAGAGCGCCATTATTGTTTTCGGCGCCGTAATTTTTCGCAGACAGTGGCGTTCCTTTTTATAACTTTGGCCCATGGCCTAGATATAAGAAAAAAACGCCCATCGAAGACGTGTACCGCACAACCCGAAAGTGCTCACGCTTACGTTCGCGACACGCATTCAGCAGCGGAATCTCGCAAACAGCCATCACCTTCCGCGGATTGTATCATATGTGCCGCACCATCTCTTTTGCGAATGTATCAGCGGCGATGCTGTTTTTGACCATAAGCAGAAAACAGCCTGTAATATCACGGCGATCACATGACGTTTCTGTGACATCATCAATGCGAAGGTGGCTTTGAAATAGTCCCTCAGTAAACCTTCTCACATTTCTCCGGGCGTGTAACTGAGGAACCAGAGGGCTTTAGATATTAGAAAAGGCATGGCCGTAAACTGCATTCAAAGTTTCTCAAGATGGCTATTTCAGTTTAAAACCCCATATAAAGGAGGAGCATTCCCTTGAATATTCTGGACAGTAATGGTAGCTGCTTTTTGCCCACTTTTACTTGCTATATATACACACACACACACACACTATATATATATATATATATATATGTATATTATATTATACATAAACATGTAATATAGATATATATATAAAAAAAAAATACTTATATAATAAGAGAAATATTGTTGTGTTACTGATAAGTTGTCCCTCTAACCCGCCTGCCCTTCTTTTGTAAGGAGACCTTTGTTTTCGCTTCTGTTCCCGAAGCTACGTTGTCACGTGACCCGGCCAATCACAGGCCGGGAGCAGGTCACGCCTGGGGTCGGGGTCGGCGGTGGGTCAGTGGTGGTCCGGGCGGCGCCGGGAGGTAAGCCAGCTCTCGTTGATATCACGACGTAGCTGGCTCCTTTCCCTCCGCTCCCTTTGACTACCACTCCGGTACTTCTACCCTCAGCTCTCGTCGATATTCACGACGTAGCTGGCTTCTCTCCCTCCGTTCGCTTTGACTCCGACTCCGGCTCTTCTACCCTCCGCTGTCGTTGATATGCACGACGTCAGCGTGTCCTTGTCAACATTATGAATAACGATGTTGACAAATCTTTAGTGGCCGTTGCTGTTACCGACGACTGCTACCTCCCCCGGGGATTATAGCTGCCGTGCACTAGTATCAAACATGGTCTAAGCGATG